TATTTTAAAATCTTAATTAATGGGCTTACTAAACTAAGCCCAAGCAAACGTGGGCTCTGTGCATACTGCACATGCCTTGATGCTTTGAATTTGTTTCTACAGCTGTGAAATTCTCAAATTAACTATCTGTCAGGAAAAGTAAAATACTGCCAGGAGAGCATAGAGATGAAATCCAAGCCAATGGGAGAAAATTACAAAATGGCATCCTGTGACATGAATCACTTTTATGGAATAACTCCTGCTATAATAATAAGTCTGTAGTTTCTAGACAGTAGATCTTTAGCAGCAGCAGCACAGGTAGTTCCATCAACTTACTACCATACAAATCTTGAGCATTTATTAAGATTGATATCAGTCATCTCCTTGTCATTTTATAAATGTACATGATTAGATTTATTTATGACTGTAAAATCTCCAAAAAAGGGGAAAAAATGACTTGTTTAAAAATATAGCATACAGTCACACCAGTCTAATACTGCCCTCACTGTTTAAAATTTCCATTTTCATTTAAAACTCGAAGTTTTTTCTGTCTGAAGCAAAGAATCCGATACAACATCAACGTTTTCAGTATCATCAGGTTTTGAAGCATGGTTTAGCTGCTTAAAAATGAAGAACATTGTCTTCTGGGATTTGCAAAAGAACCTAGCACCTTCAAACAGCCTTTGAAATGAACAACTGTTAAATGTTTCACCTTTAGAAACTGAAAAGCTTTTAATAACTTATTACAAAATGATTAACAAATCAAACACCACAGGATTAGGGGGCTAGACTCATGGAGGATGCATTCAGAGTACCTATTACGATACCTAGAAGTGCCCATTATGGCATTAAGCTCAGAAGGGCAATGAGCAGAGACTGCGTAAATGGCACCAGAGGCTGCCAAACTCCAGCGCTCTCAATCTCACATTACTCCCCTGGATAACAGATACCACAGCAGAGTATAATTCAAGTGCTATTTTTAGCTGTAGGGATTCAATCCTAAAGAGGCATCTTTATATAGAACAAAAAGTACATATTTAATTTAAAATAATTGCTTTGAAGTTTGACTCTTGTGAAAGGATAGATTTGTCCATGCCTACCTGCACAACCAGCAAGGTATTCAGCCCCAAGAAGCAGTAACGCACAGAACATAAGAGTGACCCTACTGGGTCAGTCAAAGGTTCATCCAACCCAGACTGGCCATAAGTAAGCATCTAGGGAAGACTAAGGCCATAGCAAACATGTTAGACCTCTCAATACTTTCTCAAGCTCCAACTATTTTCAGCTATGGGGACTTCCTCGTCTAGATGGGGTTTCTGTGTATTCAGCCTTCCAAGATACCTCTCTTCCATTACCTTATTCAGTGTTTTCTTGAACCCAGGTTAACTTTAACATTCATTGGGAAGAAATTTCCAAGCAGTTCGTAAACAAGGACCCCCTTTTGTTTGTTTGGCTCCTACTCGCTTAGTTTGATGTCCCATAGTTTTTGTATAGAAAAGACTGAACATCTACCATGCCATTCCTGACTCTGCAGGTTCCATCCTATGCCCCCATGCTGCCTCTTTCCACACTGAAGAATCCTAACCTAACTCAGTCACTCATAAAAAGCTACTCCATTGATCTCCTTCCCTCATAAGAAGTTACTCCTTCATTGCCTTCCTCTGACTCTTAAGGAAAGAAGACTTTACTTTTGCACCACACACCTTTTAAGCGTTTTCAGTTTCCTAAAGCTGTATTCTCAAGTCATATTACCAGTAGTTTCCTAACTCTTTCGAAAATGTCCCCAGTATCCACAAGTGTCTCCACATGACAAAAAAGGAAGGGTTTATATAAATACCACCATTTTCCTTCCAGATTTGGAAAACCCGATATTTTGGGAGGTACAAATTTTTTGGTTTATGCTTTCCTGATGTATTCCACATTCAAAAAGGTTGATGCTGACCTAAGGGGACCCTGAAAGCTGAAGAAAGTTCAGTCCTCCCTAATACGAAAGGGAGTGATACAGTTCTGTTAAGAAACAAACTGCGAAACTGACAGCGACTAGAAACTTACTGCTTCTGGGTTAACTGCTTGTGCAATAGGATTTAACCTTTGCCATTCTGTAGACTACTGCAATATGAACTTAAGGAATTATGGCAAACAACTGATGAGTCAGTTCGTGCAGTATTAGTTTTTAATGTCTTCTTAGCATTATAGCTGCTAAACTGGCCAGACAGCCCCAAAGAGCTGCAAAAGTGAATTCATGATCAGTAGTACATATCAAGCAGAACAGGATGTATCACCTTCCTCTAAGACAAAAGCAAAACCAAAGTATTTTATGGAGCTTTGCTGTCTAGGAAGTAGCTCTCATACAAGGAAAAACTTCACTTATGAAAATAGACCAAATCTTCAAGCTTGTGGAGGGACTTAGTAAGATTCCGCACACCCCCCCATTATCTACAGCCTTATCCTGTCTCCCTCACTCAGCTGCAACCTGGTGCTGCCTGCAAGTTGATCCTTCTGGCAGCCACTCATTTTTTATCAGTCTGCTTCTATCTAAAAAAATTAAAAGTTACATACATGGACAGAAAAGCATGTTATCTATTTAGATAGAGGCTGGACTCTATGGAAGTCAGCAGCTTCTTCCAGCTGCCAGTGAAGTCACCAGGGCACCTGGGTGAAAGACCATAATGTTTCCGTTTTCCTGTGCACAGAGAAATGGCTTCAAAATTCCACATGTATTATTAAGAGAATGCATAATAATGATTCAGGGGAGAATTATGGAATTCTTACTATGCTAAATTTTGTACGGTATAGTCTTCTTATAAATTTCCTTGGCACCACACATCCGATTTTCCAATGTGTAAACTAGTCTTATTGCCTAGGACTGCTACATGGGGAATTACAATCTGAAAGGATAAATAGCTCCCTAATAGCCTACAATGACACAAATCTACTACTCTGCCATTTCTTTGAATTCTTACTATGCTAAGTATGAAATAATATACGTTGAGAAAAATAGCAGTAGAGCAGAATTTTTTCCCTTTAATTGCATTGCCTATTATACCAGTTTGACAAATAAAAGACCACCAAATCTAAGTAATTACAGCATATGGGATTACAAATGTCTAATTGGCTTCTAATGTAACTTAGGTTCAAAAAAGGGGGATCAGGTAACTGAAGTAAGGAAGGCCATATTCTCACCTGAGAAAGTTAATACAAGAAAGGAGGTCTACCTCTTTTCAGTGGCAAACACAGAAGAACCAAACATTGGAACATTTCTGGGTTATCTTTCCCATGGTAGCTCTCTCCAAATGGGCCACCATGAAACAAAAGTCTGATCATATGAAAAAAGAAAAAAAAACCAAAACCCCAAAAAGCAGTAGTTAGACACCTAACAAAACCATATTGTTTGAATTTCTGAATATTCACTAGAATTTTGTAATTGTTGACGAATTTATGACTATTATTTTCCTGAGAATTTTATATTAAATAGACATGGCTTTCTGAGATGTTAGTCTGTAAAAAAATGCTTTGCACTTTGTGATTTAATTGATTTCTAGTACGTCATCTGGGCAAGATATGAAAAGGGAATGTTTTAGAACTCCGTAGCCAAGTTTACCTTTTGGGTATTCACTGAAGCATTTAGTAGTTTTTGTCAATAATGGTACCTTTTGTTAGTTTGTTTGTTAAGGGAAAAAACCAAAACAACAAGTAACCCTTCCTTCTGCCTAGCTAGTTTCCTAGGCTCAACCGAAAAGACTGCCATAAGTGTTTTCTCAACTTGGGACCTACCATAACACCAACAGGCCATCACTTAGGTGAAGACAAGCTGGACCATATTATAAAGAGGAACCCAAAAGTCATCCAGTACTTCTACTAACCAAACCCTGATTACAATTTGAAATATGAAATATGAGTTCCAGATGTCTTTTCCTCCTTTGTGGAGGAAGGCTTCCTTCCTTCCCTACTTATCTTTCTTCCCAGCTCCCTCTTCCTTTTTCTTCAGAAAAAAAAAAAAACCAAAAGCAAACAAACAATGCCCCCTGCACCCACCCCAACCCACAGAAGGTTAAAAATAATTAAATAAATAAAGCCTGTCCAGACAATTCCTTCTGCAACAACAATTATCAGCTTGGAACCAAGAAAAACAACTTAGCTGCAGCCGACACAAGGCTGTCAGTTCTCAGAACTGCTGATAAAATTTATGCTGTGCCCTAATTTCTGCTACAGACTAGTTATGAGAATATCAAGAATAGAAGATACATTTTGTGATTTCTGCTCTTGAGCTCTTTTTTTACCTGCTGTGTATTTGCCTGTTTTAGCTTTCAGGGAAGATGTATCTGAATTCAATAAGAAAAATAAAAACAGCTTCACGGTAAATGCATTAATATATATGTCAACCATTTAATTTAGCTTCTCCCAAAAAGAAACTTGCTGCACTCTTTAATTTCTCCCAATAAGATTGTCCTAAGAAAATCATTTAAATTAAAGGGAGGTTGCGGTCAAGCAAGATCTTAACCTGATCTTTGCAAAGCTCTTCAGTTATCTTCTGAAGGTTCACATTTTCCATACCATCCCTGCAACTCCTTACTGAACCCCTTCCAGTACACCAATAGGACCTTTCAACTCAAGGCACTGAAACTAACTGTAGAATTTTATTATTGGCCTCCCTAAAGCTGTTTATGGAGGAAAAGGCACCTCCCCAGCTACTTAATATTCCCCTTGCAAATAAATACAAGGATCACATTTTCTCTATTAGCTACCACATCACACTGCTGGATTTTGTTCTATGTCTTATCCTCCACGTTACAAGTCATTTTTTGAGTAACTTCCTCTCATAGTTACTTTAAAAATTACCCAAGAAATATTAATTCCCCCAATTTTATATTGTAATTTTTCTACATGGAGCAATTGCCTCCCTGCCCATTTGCAGAGCTTCCACAAATGAAATCTCTTAACTGCGCAAAAAAGTTCAGTACCAAAACAGTCAGATACCTCAGATACTGATAATACATGCTAGAACATTTACTGACACTTACTTTGCCAGGCTTGTTTGCATCAAAGCTGTTTTCTTTAAATTTCTCCTGCAGGGTCTCAGCTAACCGACAAAGCAAGGCACCATTATCCAATTTCTCCATAAAGGTTTCTGCTGTTATTTCTCTACCTGAACAGCAAACAGAAAGTTAACATGGCAGAAAGTGTGTAATAGTATAGACTGCATTTGTGTAAAAAGAGAAATCAATAGAAATCTTGACAACAGTTTGAAATATGCTTTAACTGAATAACTTCCATTACTTTGAATATTTAGTGAATAACCTCACTACTACTTTACTGGTAGACATACAGCAAATTATTAAAAAATAACATGCTTTCGTTGAGAAGGCATGTGGCATTTGAAAAATAATTCTAGTGTATCAGAATCCCCATATCTCATTTTACTTATGATATTCCAGTGCTTTTAACATAGTGTTTTAAGACAGAGTACAGCAGTCAAATGGTTTACACCAGTGTGTGTGGGTAGCTATGGTGTAAGAGTTGTTAACACTACTGCAGCTTATTTTGTAACAGAAGTGGAAAACCATGTGAAGAAGGAAGGGACTGTATTTTTTTTTAAGACGACTTTTAAGACCTGATCCTGCAAGAAGTTGACAAAATACTACAGTGATTGCAATGCTCCTTTGAAAGAGCTTTTTCAGAAGTAAAGTTAGGTACATTAGGAAAGAGGGAGAGAGTGAAATTCCATGTTATGTATCTACTTGCCACATAGATTAAAATTTTCACCCAAAGAATAAAGCCAAAACACTCTAATTTCAAAATGTATCAATTATTATCATTCTAGATGACACTGTACTTCAGCTGCCACAGATCGTCCTCCCTGGCTACAGCAGACCAGATGACCTTCCATTACACTGTAATTACATCCTCCTGGAGTTGATCACAAGAGTCCCGTGATGAGATGTGCATTCTGACCAGGTTGGACAGCCTAGATGAGAAGGGAATCATTTAACATCCTAAACTAAACTTCCAGCATCTTAACATCATTTCCAGGTAAAAATATTCCTATTTCTTATTGAAGGTTTTCCATTTTCACAATTCTACTGGAAAATTTGCCTTCTCTTTGGACACTTTTTTGATGAGCAGCTGTATTTTTCAGCCCTCTTACCTTCTACTAATATCAAGAGAGCATCAAGGACTAATTCTTGCTCTTCCTATTAAGACAGGATTTATTTATTTTTGGTGATATTTACATATGTCATTTGGGAACAGGAATAACACTATCAACTCATTTTTCATAGGCTATTCCACAGCAATCATCAGTAACAATAGTCTACCCTGCCAAAAAAAAAGAAAACATAAAAAATCTGAAGTGAGAGTGGTTTTTCATCCCATCCAGATCCACTCCTGCTACTCAAAACCGGCTTGTTCGCAAGCAGGACAACAGGTAGAAGTCTGCCCACTGCTGGTCGAGTTTTTTTTCCCCCCACAGATTTTTGACCAACAAGCAGCTCCCTGACTAAACCAGGTTATTTTGTTTTTCTAGTTAGTTTGGGAAAATTCATCTTCCATGAGATGCCGGAAAACTGAAAACATTAATCCGTTTAGAACAGGTTCACAATATTTTTTTTGTCAAAAAAACATAGGAAAAGTAGATTTAGAAAAAAGAAGTAAAGCTTTTCTATACCTTTTCACTTAGGAGAGAGAGGAAAACTAACATTCAAAAGTACCAAAAATGAATTAGATAATCAAAAATTAATATTGTACTTCCGCAATATATTGCTGGTACATTGTAATGTAGTCAATGTCACTTATAACACTGAAGATAACAGTATTATAAAGCAGTATGACTACAAAAATGCTAAAGGAAAGTTGATTTCTCTAGGCCCTTGCCTGAAAACTGTTAGATACTTCAGCATCCTTTGAGCAAAAAATTGTGAGTCTTTTCAGTTTGGTCAGTTAAAAATCAAAGACTAAGATAAAGATCTTTGCAGCAAATCATTTTCAGATACAAGAGTAGACTTGTATTTTGGTTGAAGTTAAACTTTTTTTTTCTAACACATTTCTACTTCAGAAATATCTGTTTAATGTGAAGTTTTTTTCCCTTTTTTATTCGCCCTTAATTCTCTCTGCCATATAGCCCACTTTATAGCTCCTGTATACCTAAATGACTTCTCCAGGCAAAAGAGCAGTAGCAGCACTGCAGACATTCAGTGGTAGCTTGTGCATAACTGACAACATTTTAGCAGTGCCTCCAGCTCAGCTGAAGCCAGGACTGAAACTATAATAGCCCACAGATAGAAAAATTGAACATCTCAGCACCTCAAAAGCCTTCATCACTGTTCTAGCCTACATATTTTCTCATTTGCCCCATCAGCATTTTTGGCAAAAGATATAAAGCCATCAGAAAGCTAAATTTGAAAAATTCCCATGTTATAGGAACTGCTTTATTTTTAAAACAGTCTATTTTTATAATAGACTCATTTTCTTCTAAAAATGTATTTCAAATATTTTTAACCTACTCAAGGTGGTTTTTTTAATTTGAAAAGCTTTTTTTTTTTTTAAAAAAAGGAAAATCACATTCTATGTATCTATTCTGTCCTATGATTTATAGATTTATTATTTCACTGGTCAAGCATTAAAAAAACCTAAAACCTATTTAGAGGTATTTTCTCTTTACACAAAGATGGAAAAATTCTTCTATCTTCTGCTATTTAACAATACGTTTATATTCTTTTAAATGCTGAATTGCATAAGCAGTTTGGTCACTGCATATTGTACACTAAGCTGGAGTATTTTAGTTCTGTTCCCTTTTATGAAAGCTGAAAGAATGAGTTTTGCATTGAACATCTGTATCCAATGAAAAATATATTAGGTGTCAGCTTTCAATTCACTGTATTTTATGGCTCCAAAAGGTGGCATTTCTTTGCTAAAACAGACACTCTGACATATTTAACAGTTGAAATGTATTGATTCAAATGAGAGTAATGTTCATAGCCTGAGGAAAAAAATGGCTCTGTATATTTGTATGGAAAAAACATTAAACTCCATTAAAAATGTATAACTCCCCCTATAATTACAAGAAAGCAGTTGCAATGTTTTTATAGAATGGTAATAACATTAAGTATAATAAAAAAACAACACTAAAAGTATGGGGGGAAAAAAGAAAAAAAACAGGAATATGAAGGCTTTCTCAAACCTCGCAAGCATTGCTTACCCTCTCCTTTACCGCAGTCACTAGATGCCCTTTAAGAAGACAAACTGTTATACCTGAACACCTACCCCTTGGAAACTGTGGGCAGCTATCTATAAGGCCATGCAGCCCGGGGGGTCCTAATGCAACCAGCCTGGGAGGTCTATGAAAGAATAACCAAAAAGAGCCCACGCTCAGGGTGTGTGCCCAAGAGGCTGAAGATAAAGCATTCCCTACGGGCCATCTCAGACAACCAGAGCTTTCAGAAGAAGGCGGAGGGACTCAAAGGCTAAAACAAAGTACCAAAATCTACTTGGTTGCTCTATTATTGCACTGAGTTCTTCCACACTTAGTTTAATAACTACAATGCAAGACACTGACTCCAGCCTCACAACTAGCCGATCGACTATTTTAATTGTACACTTTGGTGGTAACACAAAACTACTAGTAAAACCACTAACTAGTAATTAGCAAACTCTCAGAGATTCACTCGGGTGAATCTACATCGGTAGAAGAATGAGCTTCTACAGTACTGAGGCACCAGTGGGACAACTCCTCCCGACCCTCTCAAATTGTGTGGCATTTAAACCCAAGGTAACAAAACACAATAAAAGTAAAGAAAACAAAGGCCAATGGTTTTATGCACATAAAACTGGTTCTTTTCTGACAACGTTACTCTGTTTCCTACAGTAGCTGAAAGCAAAAGAAATATTTTTGATAGCATTGAGATATTATCACTTAGTTGAAATGGGACATCTAAACAATCCCAAAGGCATATTGATACTAAAGAAAATTACAAAGCCACTCAACTAAATAAGAAACTGCATCAGTGCCAGCAGAATCACTAGAAGTATCAGTATCATGAATGTCTTGATATTCAGATATTTAAAGCCTGCATTTCCCACTAGCTTGAGCTGAACACGCTGATGTTGAAAATAAAGGTACTGCTACAGAATCCTCTTAGACAAGATGAGCAAGAACACCAAGCTGAAGCAGGTTTTGCTTTAATTCAGAATCAAAGAAAGTAAGTTTTCTTGCAGAAGACTTCCCACCCTTCATCCCCCAATCTTCACGCCTCCTTCAACACACCTTTAAATTCCACGCCTGGTCTTTAACTCAATGCCTCTCCTAACATCCTTACCTCTCTGTTTCTTTTCTTCATGCCTACTTCACTTTTGCACCCAAGCAACTTTTACATGCCTTACGCAATATTCAACATCTACATGTCCAATTCCTCAGCATCTTGCACTCTCCAGCTCCTTTCCTATGAGCTTCTGAAGCCCAGAAAGCTCTGCTAGGAAAAGGCCTCAGCACTGAAACCTTGGAGCCCAGACATGTGCCCAGGCACGTCTTACAGGTCTATTCTGTGGTCCCATGTGCTAAATAAAGCCGGATGGAATAAGCTACAATACCGTAACCCTCTGCAGCTGGTAAATGGGCTCCAGGTATGGGAAAAAAGATCAGAGCTCTACACAATAGCCAAAGGGGAAACAGAGAAACCATCCCTCTGCACCTGTACTAAACTACAGACTGGTGATGAGGCCCACTCCTCCTGATGCCAGCCCTTTCGCCTCTGCGGACACACAAGAGAAAACAAGACATTGCTGGAGAGTACAGCAGACAAGCAAACTCTATTTGCTTTCAAATCGCCACTTTGCCTCTGCTAGAAGATTACTATGGCCCAACTGTGCTAATTCCCATGTGAAGCTTGCTCAAGGTGAAAGGGAAGGTTTCAGTATCCATAAGAGCATTCTACTAAAATAAGTACATACACAATCTACCAAATTTGGAGTGTGTCAGCAGTGAAAACATTGCCAAGTGCTTCATTGGCTCTATACATAATAAAAGCAAGGCTGAGAGATGATCATGACTTGCAAGACAGTTGGGTCAACACATCTCCTTAACTTTGCCACTGGAAGGATCTCTCAACTGAGCCACCAGAGCTCAGCAGAGGGAAGTGAGGGCAAGAGACACAATATCCATAGCTCCAATCTTTCTCTCCAGCATGCAAACCCCAACCCCCACAATGCTGACGCGTCCCACTTTGAGAATGCTGTAATGTACAATATTGAGTCAATCCCATCTGACACATTGATTTCATCTGCGTCCTTTTTCCAGCCACCAGAATACAGGCAGCTAAAATCTATTCAGCAATGGAGTGTAATGACAAACCATCCTCTCAGAAGCTCTGAGTTTCTCTGACGTGGTTCCAAAAATAATAAGCAAAATGCTTACAAAAGTACTAGTGATTACTAAAAAAACCCACAACAATGTCCATGCTAAATTAGAGTAAAATGTCCAAAGTCTCAGGGTTAAAAATTCTTACAAGTGTTATTTTCCAGCTGCACCATGTATCTCAGTCTTCCAATTTGTCACTCCGGTAAGGTCAAATTCTAGTTATGCCTAATTTCCATCTAATATCAAAACCCTTCATTCATATTATAAAGTGCAATATCCTTCTAATGTTTTCCAGTTTAATTTTGAACCCACACCAGGCTTTGCTGCTGCAAAAATGTCACCATTTTAACTTTCAGTAACACTGTGTAGGACATATTTGCCTCTCCACAAAAATTTCAAAAACACCATCAGGTGATCAAACTACCTCAGAGAGGTTCAGCCCTATTCTTGCCTAAAATACTTTCTTTTTTTTTTTTTTTAATCTACATTTATTTGAAAAGATTATGTGTCCTTGTTGAGTCATAGTACAAATGAATGAACAAAATATACATGAAACAAAACATGAACCAACGTGGCAAAACTTAATTGAAATGCATATTAATTTTCTTTATAAGTTGAGAAATCCTATTGCATTAAAATTGGCATAAAGACACTTACAATGAGGCCACACAAGTTACAGCACAGAGCAAACTAGGGTGTGGATACACAGAATATTATCTGCTCTGTGTTATCTGCACATCCAAGCACGTGAAAACCTACTGACCATTAATGCAAAGTACATTATTTCTCCGATGGAGGAAAAAAAACCCACAACAAAACAAACAAAAAAGAGTCTTACATATCCTTTTATCCTTTTGGATGCTGAAAAGCGAGAGAGCACAAACAGGTTTTTACAACAAGGTAACGGCATGCTGTAAATTCATACCTATTTTATCTTACAGCAACATGCTCATGTGTCCCCCCTCTCATTAAAGTTAACCTAAATTTACAGTAATTAAACCAAATTTGATTTCTGAGCTAATATATTTATATGAATATTAATTACTTTAATTCAGTTACACTTAATTTATTTTGAATGTGAATTTTAAGTTAATTGAATTATTAATTTGAATAACAATGTCTACAGAAGAATTCAAAGCAGTTTAACAAATAACTATAATTTCAGTTCTTCAGGACAAACTCTGAGAAAAGAAGAGCTTGGTGTGAGAAGGTGTAGGGGAACGCATTAAGCAAATGAACTGTGTATGCTACTTAATTAAAAGAAGGTTGTGCCCATTTAGTTCTACAGTGCAGAATTTGGTGTCCATATGAAAAATCAGATTTTTAATTATAGTTGGCATTTCAGAACCTCCTGCTGGTTGCTACTTTCTTTCTAAAAAAAATGACCTCATTCCTAAACTTGTCACTGTGAGAACTCTGTTATGAACTGCAAACAAGCTTCTATTTGTTTTAGAGCGGCTCACTAAAACTTCATTGTTTAAAACATTTAAACAATATATTAAATCCTTAATGGAATGTGCTGCTTCTGATTCAAAAAACAGTCTTGGATTGCTGTCTTGTAGTAATTGGAATGAAAAGTCAGGATTTCTGGATTTTGTTCTGGTATTGCCTAGACAATTTTGTATTCAAAACTCATTAAGTTAAATGAAAGTACCACACAAAGATGTAATTTAAAACAAGTGCCACTTTTGCAGTTGTGGATTCATAACGATTCCAACCCTAAAATGGGCATTGCCTACCTGCAAAATACTGTGTTCTTGCATTCTGCTGACACTGTACTTATTGACTACACCTCTCATAACATAGTGATACTTCTCTTCCTCTTTAAAAAAGAGGAAATACAGCAATGTAGAACATGCAGATGAAAGGCACTAGATATACTCTATTATTGTGTGACATCTCTGAGATGGTTCAGCTTCAGCATTTGCCAAGGCAAGACACTGCCTATGTCTCACCAGAACAGACTTCCAGAAAAACAAAACAAAACAAAACCCCCCAAAACCACACACACCAAATTTAAAAATGCTTATCCAAATTTTCCTCCAAAATAACATCAGTAAAAGTTTCATGTAAACATCACCTCCTCTGAAATATTTTCTCCTCTTTGTTTAACAAAGAGGAACTGCTGGCATGTTTCCCTTAGGATGAAGTATTGTGTAAGTCATGTATTTCTTTGGTAGAATCCTTTGGACTTACACAAGGAGATCACACAAAAGCCATTTTCCCCTGAATGTTCTCAACAAACAACACACTATTTCCTGGCTCATAGTTTCTAAATTCCACCTTCTTGAATGAGTTGTATATCCCAAAGAACCGTCTCTCTCCTTCCTGCCAGGGACATACTCTCTTTCACTCCTCTTCATGTGTACCTGATTTTTTTCTTGGCTTTTGGTTTGCATCCTCTTTCATCATGTTTTGGCTTCACACACCAAGACGTACAGCTGCAACCAGTAAATCCCCAGGTCCCAGCTGCAGCCACTATGTCAGACCCCTCTATGCACAAGCTTCCACAAGTCTTAGCATGCATTGCCTTGGGCGGCAATTATCAATCACTAGACTGCTTGGTCAGCAAAGAACTATTTAACAGCTCCTTCCGTTCAAGACAGTCAGTACACCCATACTCTTTAGGAGGCCTACCAATAAAAGTGGAAGACGTAGTTGATGACAGTAATTAGCACCATTCAACTTAATGGTATTAATACAGAAAACACATGCAAAAGAACACTTAAAAGGAAATTTGAGGAAAAATAAACATGAAATGAATAATAAAGTCCAATTATGCTACTCACAGAAACACTGTGGAGGCAAATTACTTATTAGCTTTTCTGACCTTGCTAACAGTTGCACTATGTGGAGGTAGCTACCTACTCATAACTACCTTTATTTTTGAAATGCAAAGAAGCCTGAAGGACTGAATTCCCAGCTAACAGTTGGGAATTGAGAGTTCTCTCAGTGCCCGGTATTTGCATTCTGTCTTATTGTATCTTACCCAGTAGGTTTGTGAGCCACAGGGCCAAATCCTCTTTCATCGGCAGCAAGTTGGCCTCATGTCTACTTGCAAGCCACTGACTGTATTGATGCATATCAGAGAGGCCAGGCCCACGTGCCTTCGGGCTCAGAGCAGTGCACATTGCTTATCCGCTTGTTGTACCTGTTTTATTACGTTTTAAAAAAAAAAAAAAAAGAAAAAAAGAAAAAAAAGAAAAAAGACGTATTTCATTATACCAAATAAAGTTTTGCAGGTTCTGTTTTTAGAATTGTAGAAGATAACAGCAGTAACTATGATTCTAAGAAATTAGATGTCAGACAAACAGATGTGGATCTAACACGTGAATACAACATTGATGATTGAAGTCCTGTTTTGTAAATGGATCACATTGCAAGTGATTAAATCATACAGATAAATGTCAACTTCATTTGTCCTCACCAAGCTACACATGTTGCCAACATATAACCAAATATTCTGCAAGGAATGATTAAAATCAAATCAAAATAAACATTTTACACAAAGCTAACAACTCACTACGGTGCTTGATCCAATATCCATTCAAACTAAATGGAAAGCTTCGGAGATTTTTGGATGAGGCCCAATAAAAACACAGGAGCAACTGAGTTATGCTACTACAGCAAACTTACTAACAATTAACAAATGCAGTTACCAAATGGAATCAGTCTATTCTACAGCTCTACAGCTTTAGAATAATTAAAGAAAAAAAAAAACATATATATTTACTGAATAGCATTGTTTCTTCGGAAAGCAGCACAACAGCTAGTGCTGGTCACCCACACTTCCCACTTCCACCTTTTATACGAATAATCCTCTGCTTCAGTGACGACTTACTTTAGTTTCAGGTAAGACAATACATCATGTGTTAAATATTAGTTAACTGTTCTGAGTCTTGCAGCAGCCAGAGACGTTAGGCCCACTGGAACTATATCTCTGCTCCTGAAGGACTAATTCCCCCATCTGTGGCAGAAGTGTGCTAAGGAAAGAAGATTATTTTCCCCTCTGAAAAGAAATTCAGACCTGGACCCTAATGCTTGTAGCAATGAGCTGAGATACTTTCTTGCCTGGTAGGCTGCTGAAAGCCCAGTCACACCAACTGGCAGTCACAAGGTCTTATGTAGGTGGCACTAGACAGACATTAAGTGGGGGTGGGAGGTCCATAAGGAATAGCTCTTTGCCTGTTGTCAACCGCCTGATCCACGCCAACTGCGGTTACACGTCAGCTGGCTTCAGCTTACGATACACTGCAAACACTGTTTCTTTCTGTCCTTTGTGTACCTTTCAAGTCAGGTAAGAGGTAATAGTGACTTTAAATAGTGACAAAAAAGAACAATTTGTTATACCATTCCATTGTGGCCTGGAATAACAAGAATACTGAAAACAATTCCTTCTCCAAAAAAAGGAAAATGATTACTGGATGTAAAAAGCAATTGCCTTTCCATAAAATTGTGCTGTAACCGACATTTCCAAATATATGAAATGCTATTCGGGATATTTTAATGCTTACATTAAAATACTCCAGCATTTTTTAACCATACCCTGCGTAACTAAACTCCTTGTTCGCAAAAACATCTGCTTAAGCTCTTGTTGAGAGTACCTCACCCCAAATACTGAAGTACCCTTGAGATAGACACAGCTTTCACTACGAATATACTTCTTACTGAAATCAAACAATTTTTTCAGTTGGGAAGGGGGAAAATAGAAATTAAAAAGATTTTATTCCCTTGTATAAATACACATTTCTGAATTATCCGTAGATTTTACATTTTTCTGACAAAACAAATCCTTATGTATCAAAGTTCCTTTGAAAGCAGAGCAGTTTAAGGCAGACCGAAGTATGTAATTTAAGCTCAGCTCTGTTCTGAAAACTGACTTTGTAAAAATGTCAGCTTGGATTTATAGTTTCCTGGTTGATTAAATCCAAATCATACCTGTTCATTTGAGGTGGGGTGCAAGGGAGTGGAGGGAGAAGAATTAGGCTGTTAGCTCTGCAAAAATCAATCTGGAATGTCACTCTCAAAATAGATTCCTTTGGACGAGATGATACTGACAGCTACGGAATTACAATGACAAGTATATTTAAAGTTGCTCTAAGTCACTCAGAACCACGCAATTTAGTGCTTCAAATCACTGCTTCATTTTGGATGGCAACACAGGCAGGATGGATAATTGACAAGTACAAATACCTCTGTCATATACTTTCTTTCCAGGAAAAAAGCCTTAAAATAATTTTTTGACTGATTTCTGGAGTTTATAAACTCCATTGATACAGTGAGAACCAGAACTGAAACTACTTTATTCTCTTGAATCACCTCTGAAATTATACCAGTAAAAAGTAATAAAAAAAATTTCTCATTCCTGAATGTTCACTTCATATACAATACACAAATAAAGCCAAGTAAAAATACATTATTTTTGGCAACAATTTTTCAGTTTATTAACACCTATGTATCTAAATATTTAGGAAATGAAATCTTGCAATTCGTTTCTTTTGACACACAGATTGGAAAAAGACACCTGAAAAAAGAAGCACCATAAAGGAACCAGTTAGACACTGCACCTCTTCACCGGAAATAATTTCACTGTTCATACATGCTTTGAGGAGGGGCTTAGACTAGATGACCCCTGGAGGTCCCTTCCAACCTAATTTATTCTGTAATTTTATATTTCAAGGATGCACACAGCAATATGCATCATGGGACCCTAAGCAGGGTCTGCCCTGCTAGGAGTGTAACACATGGCACACACACTGAGCTGGATTGTGTTATGAGGAAAACTACGGAGACAACATCCTTTTCTTTCACCTCAGGAAAGGTCCACCTACCTTATCACTTCCAAGACCACGTATGTGCCCTACGAAACCTGGAGCTAATTGGTAACCAACAACATTATAATATGCCTGAGAGCCAGCCAGATACAATACAGGCTGCTGCCACTGGTGGTAATTCTAAGGTCTAAGACTAGAAAAAAAGAGAGGGAAGGCTTCTGGAGGCAGTTTGGGTTTCCCCATCAGTCTGTAGAACAAGCACTGCAGTCTGTTTACGCTTCAGGCTGATCTCTGTGGAGACACAGAGCAGAGAATTCAGGATTTGAGATATTACTTCAGTTTGTCTCTAAAATACAGGACTGTCTTTAAATATATTTCATACTGACCTACCTCTTGTTTCATTAAACTCAGCAACCAGGCTGTCTAAAGGTGTCAAGGAAACAAAGTGGGAGAACAAAGAGCTCTGATTTCGGAGGATGCATGGGTGCTTCAGTTTCGTAGTAATTGTGGTACTAAGAAGAGAGAAGATCCAGAGAGAAGAAGGGTATTCTGAGTTCAAGGTAGTTTTAATAGAACACAGGTTCCCAGAATGGGAAACTAGGAAAGATGAGGAAAGACAGATAGACAGGTGACAAAAATCTCTAGAAGCTGAAAATAATTCAGGCATCTCTATACTGGGACTAGCTCTGCTTGAAATAGTAGCCCTGAATTAACAATAACGTATGGGTTAATTTGTGAAGCAGGCGTACAAAGTGAGGACTGCGGAATGAGAAAGTTAACACTGATGAAGAGTCTCCACTGAGAAGAACCCTGAAGAATCACAGATGAATCACATACAATTCAACCTTACCTCTGTGTAAGTTTTTTTTAATTTCATTTCTGAAAGAAATTAATTTTCCCCTTCCCCACCACTTCTCTGAAACTACACTTCAGCAAAACACTTTCTTCTTAGAATCAAAGCAACAAAATTCCTACCTTGGATGTTTAAAATTAAAAAAAAAAAAAAAAAAAAAAACCAAAACAAAAACCCCCCAAAAAACCCCACCAGCCTTCAAGAAGCAGAGCGCAATTTGTTACCTGTAGCTCCCATCACAAATTCTACAAGTCATATTGAGGGTCAGTTATCAAACTGCAAGCATCAGAAGCTATCAAACTCTTAATTATTCTATATGGAAATGCTGACCACTACTAAACAACTAAGTTTCGCTTAAGCCTCCACAATACTTCAGTGCTGAAGTACCTAAGCTTCGTTATAATGTTCATCTACTTCATCAATTGTAATAGCCCATACATTAACTATTAAAACTTCATCACATACTAGCTGGGATCTGTGAAGAAACTGAACTTAGTTAGGTGAAGGTGACAGCAGTTGGGTCCTGAGCTCCTTCAAGACCCCTTTGAAGACTCTACCTGTAGTCAAGGCCAGGCTCTTGATTCTTCACTCAGATACCATCAACTCACCTCCTTAAAATGTCTTAACATATTTATTTTCTGGTGAGCTGGAAACAAGTTTATTTACAATTTAGCAGTGAGGAGTTTGTTCAGAAAAATGGACTAACTTGCCACAGAGGTAGACAGTAGCATTCAAGGATACACCATCACAGCTGAGGCAAGCCTTTTTGGCTCCAACAACTATTTCATCCTTTCCTTTTGGCAGACATAAAGTATGAACAAAGTAGCCAAAAAATATTGGTTTTCCTAATCTCACTACTTTCTAACAGCAACATCAAATCATCATATATAAAGTTCTTTAAAACTAGCCAACACAAACATGTCAAATATTTTTATAGAATGTTACACTTCTCTATAAACTTGAGGCTGACGTGAGATACACACAAGCACTTTCAAAACTTACCTCTACATTTGTTCCTCAAAAAGCAACTTCTTCCCCCTACTATTCTGAAGGCAGAGAAGAAAAGGTCTTTAACTACTTTTCATTCTGTTTTGTTACAGGTCATATTTATGCAGCACGGCCCTTTTTTCCTCCTCTCTCAATAAGAGGACGACATCTCAAATTCTTAGACTTATTGTCTAGCTGAAGAATTCAGTGTGGGATAGCTTACAGTACACCCAGTGACATGTAACAGATTCAACACACTAAAAGGTTATATTTCTCTCTGCTTGCTTCTACCAAACAGTAAAGTTTTTATTTTGCTTTACAGTAGTACATTTAGTCTTCTGTGTATTGTAGCTCACTGCACATATTTTGCCAGCAGTGTAACTTACACTATCTGCTGATTGTTGTCAGGGATCATCAGGTGAAAGCAATGAGAATCAAACAAGTAATCTTCTGTAATTCCACTGACTTTTGTTGGGGTTAACTGGTAGAACAAAAGGATTCAAGAATGATACACTGT